TTTATTTGCAAACACTAAATAATTATTATCTCTTTCCTGTTGTCAATTAGCCGGACATTTGTCGCTATCATTAGTGAATCCATCGAAGAATACAAGAACTAAACGAGATGTTAATCAAAATGAAGAAATTGAAAATTACCTGAAAATTCGCACAAAATATTCACTGACAGTAACTTTAAACTAATTATATTAATTTTAATAAATTTAATAAATATCACATCATATGAATAGATGACCAAAAGAATAACAAAGAGATCGACAGATGAAAAGGAAAAGTTGGAAACTTTGATGGAAATGGAGTCTAAACTAAATTTAAAAGGAGAGACAATTGTTTCAGAATCGACAGCAGGTATTGTTTGTTAAGATATGAGAATAAATGGACATTTAATTGTATTGATTTTCATTTTGCACAGAAACTTCTTTGAGAGAAAAATTAATTATGTATCGAAAGAATATAAACGAAATGCTTTCAAACAACAAAAATATGGGCGGATTTGTTAAATATTTAGTTGATAATCAAAATCCAAGTAAGAAACGTTTGTAATGGAAATAAATTGAAGTGTATTTTTAAAATAATTGTTTTTTAGTGTATGTTTTGCTAATGAAAGCCCTGAATCTGGAAGTGATGCTCAACGAAGACAAATCCAGTTCTTCAACTAAATATCTCATCAATGCTAACATTAATGACAAGAAAGTTACAGAAGTTTGCGGCCAAAAGTTGTCTTTAAAAAACAAACAATGCTTTGATTTGCTTATAATTTTAGTGCAATCGCAGTCAAGTATAGCTCAAACTCTGCTAATCAATGGATTCAAAACGGAAAATACTATTGATGTCAAAAATGAATTTCTCAAACTTTTGGTTCAGTCACCGAATCCACAGAATTGGTTAATAAATGATTTGATGGATATAATGAGAGCTGAGAGTAGCACTAATATTGAGGGCATCTTATTGTTAGCTATCAGTAATTTAGGATATCATTCAAAATCAATAGACATTCAGAATAAGATTTCGGATATTTTGAGACATAGATTGCATGAATTGGACTGTAATTCAGAAGAAGACTCGTCTATACTCGTGGACACATTGGAGGCCATTGGAAATCTTGGCCACAATTCGACCATTCCTTACAGCATTAGGTTTGGCGACTCTTGTCTCCAATCGGATTCAATAAGAGTGGCCGCCATTCACTCGTGTCGACGACTTTTACTTCATCCTGAAGTCCAAAAATGGTTCCTTAAGTTACTTAAAGAGCCGACAAATTCATGTGTTATTAAACAAGAAGTGGTGAATGCGTTGATTGAAGACATAAACGCTATCGAAATGAGTGGTCATTCGAGCCATTGGCCAAAAGTTGATTTCAATGAAATCGATAATATTTTAAGCGAGAATTTAATTCAGATTAAACACAACCAATGCTTTCAAGAAAATATAATCAGATATTTTGAGCGCAAAAGTAATGCTAAAGCGAAGGCTGTCCTAAAGAAAGCTAAAAGGATTCGTTCAAAACGAGCCGTTTTCGACAGTTTTTGGACCGAAAGTTATTGCAAAGAATGGGTTCCAGAGGAAGGCAAGAAAGAGGGCCCAAATCCTACGGCAAGCGATGCGGCGGTTATTATATCCGATCGGATACGAGAATCAGAAGACACGGAATCAAACGTATATCTTAAGCGCAGAAAATGTTCGGCCACTAAAACGTTTGGACCAAATCAGGCGCAGGCGGTCTTCAGGGCTGACATAGTGAACGACGCGTCCGGTTCTATGGATAATCCCGACTATAAACTGATGGCACAGTTTGTCGCCGGCACTCACTTTCTCGGCAAAGATATAGACGTCGGCAAAATGTATGTTTACCACAAGAAGGACTCCTCCAGAGCCTATGTCAACGTATTTGGCAACACATTAGTGGACACATCGGCCAGCAATTGCAACGGCACTACAGTTCAGCCATATCTCACTTCTAATTACTTCCCGATCTATGATTTCAA